GTACGTCTGGGCCTAAGCCCTCCTCTGTGCATGCACATTCGAACCGGCGACCTCGGCCTCAAGAGCCAAGTCTCTTAACCACTACAGCCAGGACACGGTGTTCAAAAGTGGAATCGTACCAGTCGTGATATCCACCCCGCCCCTGAAAGGCTGTAGTGTCCAACTCAACATACACCACACACAACACCCACAGACAAGGCAATTCTTGTACACTTCCCTCTGTAGTCAGTACGTAACCCCCGCTGGTACACTTACCTGCTCACACAGACGGGACGTATCAATGCCCGCGGTTCACGGGCGCTTCCACAATAGTATGGATTCCGTACGTCTGGGCCTAAGCCCTCCTATGTGCATGCACAGATTCGAACCAGCGACCTTGGCCTCAAGAGCCAAGTCTCTTAACCACTACAGCCTGGACATGGTGTTCAAAAGTGGAATAGTACCGGTCGTGATATCCACCCCACCCCTGCAAGGATGTAGTGTCCAACTTAACACACACCACACACAACACCAATGATGGGTGTTGCACTAACGGGACAACCATAGCGTCCTTACGATACACCAAATACGGATCCGCCCCAGACGACGGGACCAATGAAGTTGATCATCCCATTTCCTGAGGCCTAAAACGGAACCTCGTCCTTCGCCCGCCCACTTGCGATACATATCCTTGAAACTTGACACAAGAGATTTCAGTTCTCACCTGGGACTCCACCCCCATCTTCCTAAAATCCCTAGCACACCGCTTTCTTGGTGCACTTCCAGGCCCACTCTCACTCCGATCAAGAAGTCACGATGGCGTGAGGTTTCTTGGGCGTCACAAGGCTACCAGGGACACAGGGGGGCTGCGGAAGGGCTGTGCCATAGAGATGAGCAACGGGTATCCAGACCCACACCCACTCGCACCCTATGTGACACCGTCGGCCGCAGATCCTGCGGCTGAGGCCGAGGCCGAGGAGGCCGGCCGCGGGCCCGCGGCCGAGGCCTCGCGGTCGAGTTCGTGCGCGGCCGCGCCACGCCCCAGGCGGGGGCGTGCGCTCAAAATCGGCGCGCGCGCTCGGCCTGCGCATG